TATCTTTATTACTCATTAAATGCAAAAAAGATAGAACGATGATTGTGTTGGCTTGTGTTGACTTGTGTCACTAAATGGAAAGCAACCCATTGTTGTCCTTTTGGCCTCAAGCTTACTTGTTTTCAATAAAAATTTGAAAAAATGAAATAAAGAACGTTTTCATCGTTTTCATCAGATTTTTTTCATCATTCATTATTGTCATTTGATTATTTCCTTCGTTTTCGATGTACACACTCATTACCATTGTTGCTACTGCTTCTTCTATTGCTGCGAGACAAAACTCCAGCTCCGTATAAATAAATAAATGTAAATAATAACAAATGATTACAAGCGGATTTTTCTTGACGTTCATATATTGTCGTTATTTATTAAGTTCAAGAGAGGATAACTTACATTTGCATTGAGCTATGATACATACTATGTACATCGTAATTCAGTAAGTCTCATTTCACGCAATTATCGTTTGATTTCGCTACTGCGACCGGGAATAAAGATGAAGACATTGCTGTCTCCAATGTAGAACTTACAAATCTTAAAGCTATATTATTAGTCTATATTTTTAGGCTGCAGGACGAAAGTTGTTTTCTTACGAACAGAATTTACTCTCCTTCATAATCAGTATTTTATAATTAAAATAAATATAAATAAATCGGTCTCTCGAGAGTGGAATACAGCGGCAGCAGAAAGAATCTATAAGAGCATTAAACATTAATTAATCCTGCACGGCATGCCGATGTAAACTAGCAAATTTCTGTTTACTTAACTATTAATGATATTTTGTCTCATCACTTATTAGATATTATTAATTTTTAAATCATATCATTAATTAATAAATAATAATATAACAAGGATATATTTATATATTATAGTATAAAATTTAGTCGTTTCACATTCTCCGTTTCGACGTAAATAAAATCGTGACGAAATAAAATATCATTTACAAAGATTATAATTCAAATTATTCTCAAATGTTCGCAGAATGTTGCGAGAGAAGAGAATACGTTATATTTAAAAAATTCGCTAGATTATTCGAATCTTCATAGTTTAATACAATTTTCCAAATTGTTAAAATTATTTTTCTAGCAATTAATTAATGCCTGCTATATGAATAACATACTCATTATTCATATAGTCATACTTGGTAATGTAGTATAGAATTGATAAACGTGACCAGATTCAAGATTGTAAAAAAAATCATAATCTCACTTGCTTGACTAGAACAGCAGCAACGCGAGCAAATGCAGGGCAACCTTTACTATCCGTGCAGCCTCTCCACCTCGAATATTGAATTTCGTCATGCAGGTATACAGCTACATGTAAAATGTCTCAATCCCTATCGACTCATTACTATGTTTACATACGCTAATGATATTACGCCTATAATCCGATCAAACGCGTTACTAAAAAATTCGTTCATTTCGGAGCGACAAATTTCATAAAAATTACGTCGAAGTGACTCCTTTTATCTTTATTCACGTAACAAATAATTATTTTTTTACGCAGAAAAAACTCTCGCTCTCACTCTCTCTTTTCTTCATAATCTACTATGTTACAAAGTTCGGAAGTGAAATGTACAGGCTCGTTTTACATTCTTATCTTTAAGAACAGCAGAAAATAGTTCATCACCGATAGTTCATCGTGGACCGAATTGTCAATTAACAATATTCATGACTCTTGGCGTTCATTGACGATTAATGATGGAATTGGAAGGTGGGAAGGGATGGAGTATAAAATATTTAACGATTTATAGAAAATCGACGAATATCTCTTAATCTATTCTCTCTAAGCTCACTTTGGAAGGTGATCGTGCCATGATGTTTCGAAGTTCATTACAATGATTCAATGATACTTCAGGTCGAATGTTGTCTAAAATGCGTTTTCGATGGAAATGATACTTCTCTGACTTCTCTCAATCAAACGCAAGATCTTTGATAGAGATCAATTATTTAATGGAATTCATAATTTGGTAATTCTTGATTCTAGAAGTTCTAAATATAAATTAAACTTACATTAAGTTTTCAGAAGTTAAATATAATTATAACGCGATTATTTACTTAATTTAAATCTTTTTTCAATTAGAATATAAAATGTATATTAAAAAAAGCAAAATTAAAGAACAGATTAATGGGAGCACGGCGCAGAAAGTAGGGCGCAATTGATTTAACAAATATGAAATTAATAAATATAAATTAAATGTTTTAACATTACATGAAATTCGACTGTTCATAATACTAAAATTCATATATTTTTTAACAAATGGTACTTGCAATAATACTTGCAAAAGAATATTATAATCGAATTTTCAAGTTATCAGAGATCTCGCTTTTTATAATCGCAATATCCGAAATATTCTTAAAAAGGCTACATGATGACTTGTACCTACATTTATGTCTCCAGAGTGCGTTCATTCCGGTACGAGAGCCTTCCAATCGTGATGATTCGTGCCCATCATATACACTACTTTAGTGTCACATGTAGTGTTACTACAGCTTACATATCCTTATCACTAATTCTTTGATTAATATTTATCCGCACATTAGTAGATCCTTTTCGTTTAGCGCATTGAGATACAGTGCGAATGTAACACAAAGTTTATGTAATTTTATGTTGAAAAAGATATTGGGCTATTCTATTTAACTTGACACAGATTGGCTTTAGTCGAGAACAAGAGCTGGGATCAAATATGAGCATAGCTTGTATCTAGTTCGAGCTAATCCACCCTAGTCAATCAGCTTCCATTTTCATTTACCTCCGACTGTACCACAGTATTTATATCTGAAATAAGAGGAAGCTCGTAGAGAAAAAGAGACAAAACAAGCTTTTGTCTCAGACTATAAATCTATCTTCAACACGCAATATTTCGAGTTTCACAATTACTTACAATTGATAATAAAACATCAGGACTATAAGATTCTGAAACTTGAAACGCGGTGTCGAGGATTGCAGAGTAATATACAAATTGTTCTCTTATCATTCATCATAAGGAGATGGAGAGTGATTGACCTAATGTGACATCTTTTACATCATTTTACATGATGAAATCAGAATTCTGATTCCACTATGTCTTATATGATTACAAAATAATCTTTGAAACGCGTCCATTAGCATAATGTTGGTTGCAAATAGTTATTTGTTTTTTACTATGTAAATACGGATAGTATAAGACGTCCAAGTTTGTCGTTTTGATTCTATAATTAGCATAATTGGAAAGAATATTTAATATAATGATGTCGTGTTTAATGAATTTGCGAGACTCTTCCCAGAAGATGCATGCTGTAAAATTTACATACACAAAACACATGTCAAAAGAATTATGTTATGTATGTACGTTACAGAGTCGGCATATAAAAAAAAATAAAACCTGATTACTGTAATATATTTTTTGAAAGATAAATAATTACAGATTAAGACTAATATATTAAGGAGCTCTTTAACTCTTCAATTGCCAACAATTTTCGCTAAATTCAGTATACAAGTACAGTACAATACATTTTTAACGATTAAAATAAAATATATTTAACGATTTATAATTAAGAAATAATCCGTTTTTATCGTTTACTATGAAAAAAAAAGATTTAAAATTATGATTCTATTAAAAATTTCTACATTACAAAGGCTTGTCTCCGTGTTCCAGATATGTCTTATTAGAATATTAACGTTTCATAAACATTGCTGTTCACTTTATCAGGGCGAGGTGCAACCTGATACTCAATTTCTATGTTAAAAAATATAATATATTAAAAACAATTCGTTAGAAAGTGATTAAAACAAAGTTAGAATTAAAGAAAAGTTATTCCTAATTTATAATGTAGAATGAAGTCTGCGTTTCATCAGTTGAGAAGAGCTCGCGTTCACAGACAAAAAATTTTACACGTTTTATAAAATCAATCTGTCGTCGCTATTGATCCTAGAATGGTGAGAGCTTCATGATGTCGCTGTTGAGATCAGCAGATGGTGCTTTATTGTCCAAGTCGAGAGGACTGCTGTCCGAGCCGAGCGATGAGGAGGGCCCTATCGCTGCCGATGTTGTCACCGCCGCAACGAATTCATCGAGGAAATCGAATGAAGCCACTGCCTCACGCTCCTTGTCCCCGTAGCGTACGAAGAAGTCATCGCCACGGCCGATGATTGACGGCCGGGACGAGCCCCAGGTGGACGGCAGCCGGAGGACGCGGTGCGCCTGGGCCGCCGACGCTGAAGAAACCAAGGGCACACAGCAGCGGGTCAACAGATGCTGCTCTCAGACTTCACTCGATCGACTCGATTTTGCGCTCTTTCTCTTTCTCTCTCTCTTCTCTCTATACCGGTTCTAGCAGACACAGAGTAGCTCGGCTTAGCACTCTCTTTCACCGTATTCACGTCTCCTTCTCTCACCCTCTCTCCCTATTCCTCTTTCGTTCTTTCTTTCTCTTTCCCTTTCCTTTCTCACGTCTCATCTATCCGTCCATATTGTCTCTCCGCTTTCCACTGTCGCTCCACCGCACCGGTTATACCCTCTCTTTTTATTTTTTTGTGTGGAATTTAAGTATATTTGGCGGGTGCACGACCGAGTGGATGATGTATAACGTACGTCGGACAAATTGGTACGTTGGACAATTTTATTTGTTATAATTTGTTTTCATAAGTTTTTCTGCTTATTCTGAGAACTTCTGATCTTAATTCTATAAGTTTTATATTACAGCAGACTGTTATACAAGCTAAGATAACCAAATTTTTTGACAAATTAACAGTAATCTAAAGATATGTACACGTATTACTCTTGAGAAATAATAAATAGAAAATAATAAAAATTCTGACACATTTACACTTTTAATTTGTTTTTGAATTTATTTTTAAAATACATTGCGTGTCATTTATCCGACGTACTTTGTATGATTATGATTCACTTGAGAATAATGATAAATTAATCAGAATCATATAACACATGTTACATTATATAACATAAGTATATAAGATATTAGAAGATGTTACTTCTACAAAGCAGGAAAAAGAAATTCATTCGAATTGGTTACAATTTTACGTGAAATTAAAAATGATCAATAACGTAGCGTGATTAATGATCTAATATAGACAGGCGTAAAATGAAATAAAGATGTCGAAAAGGAAGATGAAGATGCTCTGAAACGGTCTTGCACGTGCCAATAAAGTTCAGAGATTCAATTTGCTCGCAATACAATGAGAGAGAAAATAACTATTTTTAATTTATACCCTGACGCAATTCCATTTGAGAAGCTGTTTAATTTCAGTTATATACATAATGTTCATATTTGCAGTCTCATATATTGCATGATTGCTCACTTATCTTTCAATTTTAACAAGATATTAGACGACGTTAAATTTGCACATCAATTTGCATTCTTGTCTAAAAGTCTTTGGATATTTTGAATTGCGCTTTTGTGGACATAGTTGTATGTTTGATTATCTATATAAAACTATATAAAATTAGATATAATGTATTTAAGAAATTGCATTAAGTTTGAATGTAATCTCCCTGTTTGATTATATACATACACACACGTTTTGGTTATACAATTGTATATACAATCGATATTCATTTATATTCAATGTACCTTTCTGTATTTTGTCCCAAGACTTTCGGACGGCAATGTATGCCAAGTAGGCCACGCAAATATATGTGAACCAAACGAAGAAATGGAATTGCGTGGAGGCGCTACGCCAGGAACGTTCACTACCAGTTAATAATTCTGTTAGTATAAACCGATAATCAGTCCATTTTCCAGGGCGTAACACGTGGTTCCGTTTAAGACGAAATAGGTTCCCCGGCGCGGCAATGCATTCCTCCCAATTGGTCATGTCGCTTATAGAAACTGATCGTCACTAAGCCGAACTACGTAGCTTTTCTTGTGACAATCAAAGCACACCGCGTAGGCGCTACCATCTGAACAGAAAATATGGAAAAGGCTATGTACAGCGAAAAGGCTACTGCAAGCGCGAATAGTGACGCCGATTGTACTGTAATTGTACTGTGTTAATTGCGAGGGTCTAAAGTAATTGAGAGTAGATAAATCAGCCGCTCGATCGAGTATAATGTGATGTGACGTGTACAAGTGTAACGCCGATTTTGAATGTGTGACGAGAAAGATGTTGCCGTCTTAAGCTTACAAGAGCAAGCGCTATTCGCACACCACCTATAAAACTTTCTAAAGCGTTTCTTAAGCTTTTTTCCTCCAATGTTGGGCGACGTAAATTAGCGTTAGAATATCTGAATTCTTATTTAATACTTGGTGGTCTTTTCTTATAATAACGTAAACACGATTTTATAAAAAATTGATTTAATAAAAAAATTAATTTAATAAAGTACTTTATCTTACACTTAAATTATACTTAAATCTGTTATTAAAATAAAAATAGAGTTTTGGTATAAAACTTATATATGTGTATAATCAGAAACCAGAGCATCTTATCCACTAAAATAAATCATGTATAAAATGACAATTCAGATGTTCTACAACGTATAAATATTCAAAATATTGGATTATTGTTAATCAAATGCTTTAGCTTCAAGCTTTTTGCACGTTTTCAGATTAATCGATTAGTAAAAATTTCACAATTTTAAACAAAGCGTAATGAGAATATTAAACATTTGTTGATGAAACAGAAAGTGATGGCTAAGGGTTAGGCGCTAAAAATGATAGAGATCGTAAGGATTGCATTTAAATTATGCATTTTGCGCAAAGATGGTGAGTGGTGATGCGCGAAAACGGCATGGCAAAAATGTCTACGGAGTAGATACTCGAAGATGAATACCTTTCTTTTGCCGTCGGTACCGATGTAATCTATGCAAGTGTCGGTAATCAGGTGGTTCATCTCCCGAATCGCTACCCGCCGAACCGCTACTCGATGTCGCCGAAGAACTTTCGCTGCTTGCTAACATCACGTCTAAGAGATTTGCTCTGGCCTAAGTGAAAGTATAGTAATCAGTATTGCATTCATTTTCACGTAGAAATAAAAATTATTGTATTCAAGTAAACCATTTCTAGCGATTAATTCTTATATCCGCAATGAAATTGTCAAGCACTTTATCTGCGAGCATTATTCTATTATTTATCTAAGTTACTTAAAATTTCTATAGTTTAGTCTTACTGGAAGCTCACCTTGGGGTCGGTGAAGTCAATATCACGTTCAACGTGAACCCATCCTGTTGGACAGCAGCAAGCAAGATCCAATTTCTCAAGCGGTACCTGCGATTCGTTGTTAACGATGTTAACAGCGGTAGTATCTTCACCCTTCCTAATCATACGGTTCAATTCATCTATAACATCCTTGGATGTGGCGCGTTCATGGAAGCTCAATGTTCGATCTCTGCCCTCCACGAGAAGCGTTGCTCGTGCCGGGCTGACCTGTATGAAGATTATGCAATCATTATTATAACAAAGTGTTTTGCTAGAAATTAGATTAAAAGTTTTTATGCATAAAATTAATTTTTCTTTATAGCGTTAACACATTAATTAATACTATTAATAACTGTTATTGTTTTATATTAACATTATTATATATTATTATAAGTGAATGTTTATATTATATTATTATTGATAGTCAATGTTAAGCGAAACAGATAATACCTCTCAATAAAACTAATTTCTTGAAATAAAGAAATTATTTCTTAAAAATAAAAATTATTTCTTCAGGAAGAAAAAGGGAAATCGAATAGGTGTCGCTTTTCTTTTCTTTCGTGCAAATTTAAATAGTATTCGAAAGCAAACTTACAACTGTACTAGGCGTAGAGGAAGTTGCCTCTTCGTCCTCCTCGGGAACAGCTCCCAATTCCGATGGAGCTACCGTTGTATATGCGATACCGCCATTACAGGACACAGCGCTTACAATCCTCTCCTCGAGTGCCAATGGTGGTACCTGTATCTGATCGAGTAGCTCATCGTTGCTGCTCATTTCATTCGCGTTTCCGATACTACGCTCTTGAACGGATGAACTTTCTAGCTTCGCTATCTTTGTTTCTCCCGTAGAATCATTTTTGTTAGGGACCAATTCTATAAGCGGTGAGATTTAAAACACATTTTTAATATCTTTTCTATCATTTTAATTCCATTCTTTCATTACCATATTTAAAAAATTTCTTGGTAATTATTCAAATTAAGGGATATTCCACCTTGACCTTGACATATGTCGCCTTCAGTAATCTTCGACAGGTTTTAAGTGGTCATCCTTTGTTAAAAAGTTATCAACAAAAAAAAGTTTTAAAAATAACAAAAGAATAATTAAAGTTGGGCTGTTGAAATAAAAACTAAACAATCAATGAAAAAACGGGCAATTAAGAACCTAGATTCACAGTAATTGGAGCGATAATATCAACATATATTTCTCAGTACTACATATATATAACAAATACCGAACGTTTCGGCTTAATTCAAGCCATCTTCAGCAGTCTACCAAGATGTCTCGAATTATTTATCAAGAGATTTTATTATATTAGACTGCTGAAGATGGCTTGAATTAAGCCGAAACGTTCGGTATTTGTTATATATACATGTAGTACTGAGAAATATATGTTGATATTATCGTTCCAATTACTGTGAAGGCTCTTAATTGCCCGTTTTTTCATTGATTGCTAAGTTTAAAAATAAACTTGAAAAATAAAACCGTTTGATTTCTACCACATTTTTCAGAAATACTCAGAAATATTCGGAAAGTTTAATGGCTTGTAATACAGCTATATAACACGAGTATTCCCTGCTTTAAAATATGTTTGCTATTCATGTACTGTAAGGGGTGAGAGTCGCTTCGGCTGAAAGTCGTGCACCCCTTTGCAAGGGGAAGAGGGGGGGAGAATAATGTCTTTCACCTTCGACTCTCATTTCCCTCCCCCCTTGCGAAGGAGCGCACAATTTTTATTTTCGACTCTGATCACCCCCCTACAGTGCACGAATAGTAAACATATTTTAAAGCAGGGAATTCTCGTGTTATATAATTTAACTTTTTTTATTAATAATTTTTTAGCGAAGGACAATCGCCACCTAAAACTTGTCAGAGATCACTCAGGGCCATCTTGACAACATATGATCATCGGTGAGGTGTTCCTAAATTTGAATAAGTACCAATTTCTTTTAGTTAATTGATTTTTTTTTTTCTGTATTTTATGATTATGATAACAATAACTTGACTGAAAAATAGACAGCATGTTTTCTGTTTAATTAACGAATATGATTGAGTGTCACCTTCGGTCGAGTGAGACACGTTCTGCGGTTCCACGGGATTATTCGGTAACTCTGCGAGGTACATCTGTTGTTCGGCGATGAAAGACAGGACACTCTGAAGCGCTTGTTCCCTATCCGGTGGTGGCCTACCACTTCTGGAGGACGTGCTCGCCAAGCTCTTAGTACTCTCGAACTTTACTAGCCGGTAAAAGTCTCTGGTAAAGTCCGTGCCGATTGACGGAGTGTCAGGATCGTCGCTGCAGCCAGAGAGTGCCGCCGATGAACGCTTACTCGAGTTTTCCAGAGCACCCTCCTCGCTACTCCAGGACGCACCGGGACTTGAGGCATACGGCCAAGGTCCGTTTGTCCTCGCATCCATCAAAAGCGCAACCTAAGAAATAAGATATAATTTGCTGCAAGAGTTAGTATAAGATAATATTTTAATATGATTCTTATTGTTTATATTAACATCGCCTGAAAAAGACGTTGTTTCCTTACATACACCGATTATTGCCAAGAATATTACTAAGGCCTTGGTAGTCTAAAGCTTAGGACATACGGAATACAAAAGATCCGGCTTTGACTCCCGGCCGAGGTAATATTTTTCGCAATAAATTTATTTACAGTTTTTCACATTAACATTCTTCTAATATGATGACTGATTGAGCATCAAATTATTAAAAAAATTGCTTGTCAAAAATTAATTTAATTCATGATATTATTACAGTAGTTTAATTGTGTACTCGCATTAATTATTATAAATAAAATTAATTTTATGGTTACGCGATTTAAATTGAATCGAATTTAATTAATATATAGATATATATACACAGGGAATGGAAAGTTACAAGTTACCATTACTAGTTACCAGGAAAGTAACAAGTTACCATTACTAGTTATCGATTTTTAAAAATAATTCATTACTATTACTTGAGAGAAAGTTAATTTTCATTATTTTTCCGGTACTTTTTTAAAATCACCAATCACACTGTCCCACGTAGACGAGTGCCTAGGAGATTTTTAGTCTCAAGCGCTATGAATAACTTATATCCAATCTACGAATTAAAAAGAAACTCAAGCGGCCGGTCACGAAAAAATTGGGCTCAATTTCTGGCTTCGGAAAAGCGCTGTGGATGAATAAATTTGAGCGTTTCTGTCGGAGAAAACTGTCAACTTAGAGGTTTTGATAAATATTTTTCTTCCCATTTTCCTGTAATTCTGTAAATTTGTGTATTTTTATGCGTAGAATATATTCTGAGAAGGAAAGCTGTCGCTCAAGTCCCATTTTATTTTTTTTATTTTTAAATTTTTTGAAATTCGATAAGTTAAAAAAAAATTCGGCTTATGACTATGCATAAATGTATGTATTTTTCAATAAATATTGATGTATTTACTATTTAATCAAATAAAATGAAATTTTGTACAAACATATGTATTCCGTACGCGTTATCGCATATATGTGGTATATACTTCCAACTTTTTCAGCAATCGCATTGTCCCGATTTTCCGAAGCCATGTTTCGAGCCTATATATTCATAGTCAGGCCGATATTCATAGTCAGGGGGTCGAATATTACATAAAGCCAATAAAGGTCATATAAATTTTTGATCACTGAAAATGAATCCGTAAATCAAATTGCTCTCTATCACGTCACATTTTTGAGATATTTAATTCAGCTTAAAGGTATCAAAAAATGTCATTTCTGGTACCCTTAGGTTCAATTTTCTCAAAAACCTGACATATAGAGCAATTTTATTTATCGATTCGTTTTCAGCGACAAAAATTTATAAGAATCACTTGGTCCAGTTTGTGGTCTAAAATTCGTGTTATTAAGTGTCCTAAAATACTTGAAAATTTTTAAGAAAACTTTAGAAATTAAAATAATTAAAAAACAATTAAGCAAATATTTTCAATTTCAGATATTAGATGATTATAAATTGCTAATATAAAGTTTAAATTCTTTAAGAATTAACTCTTTTTACAAATTTAAAATTATTTTTATATATACATAATATACGCCTGCATTTGAATTAATCAGGCTGTACTAGATTCGACTCTTCGTAATGATATTTTTATTAGAATAACTAAATGAACGTTATAAACGTCGATCGATATTGTGTAACACTCGATAGACATACCAGCTCTCCTCCGGTCCTATCGGCAAGATAGCTCGCACCGTTCCACAGACACTCGTTCGCGTCCTCCTCCAATTCCAGAAGATTATGTTCCTTGATTGCTGGCAGGGCAGGTGTATTTGTAGCTGGTTGCTCCTTCCACATTGCGGATTCATTTTGTACGAGGTCTTCCGTGGACAAGGAGAAACTCCAATCCTCCAACTCCGCTCTGTCGTACTCCAATTCGAGCAGATCTCGATGTTGTTGCGTGCTTCTACTGTCATCGAGCCTGAAATCCGTGCGGTGATCAATTTTGGCATATTTTCATGTTTCAGTTATATCGATTTACTATTCGGCTTTAGAGAAAATACGGTTGTTCTTCCGTTGTATCGGTTTCATAAAATGTTTAATTGAAAAATCGTAATGTAAATTAAACAAATACATAAAGCTTCATTATAATTTGCGTGTGTAAATATATTAAAAATGTTTTTCCGAATATAAATTCCAATATTCGTAATATAAGGAATCTAACTTTTATATTAACACATAATCTAATCTTTTAATATTATAAAACTCGATAATATTTTAATTGATTTATGATCTGTGGAAGTAACAATAGCTTACCAGCGTCTTTCTTTAATAAACCTCATAAAAGAAGCTAACTTTAATTAAACAGAAAGAGACATTAAAGAGTCTCTAGTGTTATACTCATATACTAGTATTCCGCTTTTACGTTTCCCCAATCAAGTTTTCATAATCTAGCGATTATACATCCTTAGAAATACATATAGCAAACAAACCTAAGCCATTGTTGCACATATTCGGCATCCCAGCCTTCCTCCTCCACCAACAAGAGAGAAGATGAGCCTATGGGGCTAGGCAGTTTATACGGTGTAAAATTGGTGGTAGTAGTGAGCTTGAGACAGAGATGACTGTCGGAGAAGCTACGCATTACGTGCTGATAGGGTAATAAATCTTTAGTCGGCGGATAGCTGTGGCGCGGATTGATGCCCACGGTGAGATTCAGAGGTAGAAAGAGGACGTCCGGATCGCTGGCGTCGAGGGCGACGAGACGAGCATCCGGCGAAACATCAGCTTCGGTCTCGTCGGTGGCCTCCTTCAGATCTTCGAGGCCGCGCACAGATGGCTCCTGACGCGTACCCTCACCTTGAACGTCACTCGACATGGTCGAGTAGCCCTCATCGCGATTACCGCTTTCTGGGCTTTCACTGCCTTCCTCCTCCGACGGTTTTTGCGCTGCAAATGATTCAGTCAAACAATTCCGAGAAGAATAGACGCATTATAGTTTTGTCTTATCATTTTATACTATATTATGTTGCTGTTAGAGAGCTTGAAAGGGAGAGAGTGGCAAATTGCATCATGTGACCCGTCTCCTCTGATTGGACGCGGGCATCAAAACTCCACAGGCATGAAAGAGATTGGAGAAGACTGATCATGTGACCTCCGTCTTGATTGGACGCGGTTATGGTTATTCACGTGATGCAATTTGCCACTCTCTCCCTTTGAGGCTCTCTAGTTGCTGTATAACAGAATTTTTCAACCGCCGTGGCACACTGATGTGTCGCAAAGGGTCTTCAGTGTGTCGCAAAATTTTAGGAAAAGTAAAAAGAAGTGAAAAAGATTACAAATAAATAAAAAAATCGAGTAAGGCACTAAAATACTTTAAAAAGTACTTTAAAAAATCATAAAAATTATTATCTAAATTATAATACATATATATATTGTACATTCTTATTTTAATTAAATCATAACATCTCGTTATTACAATGAAATCACTTTTTACAATAAATTCACTTAAAACAAAATAAAAACTTTAGAACTTATAGTTATTTTTTAATGTCGTGTTGGCGATATTTGATAAAAGACTTATGTTGATTGCTAAAACACCTAATAATTTTTTTTCGACAAATTTGGTTCGCTATTTAATGTGCTGTGAGTCAAAAAGTATTGAAAAATGCTGATGTATAATGTATGTGATCAAGTAAATAATAGAATAAAAATATCTTAAGAACGGAAAAAATTTTTCGAGATTTCTACACTGAGAAAAACTTTTGATTAAAGATGAATGAATCAGAAAATTTTGATTTGTCTATTTTCAATCAGAATTCCAATTAATGTAATCAGATACTTTTTCCAGTGTAATTACGTTTGATTCTATAGCAAATGTGTTAATTGTGATAAAAGATAATTAGTACCAAGAGGTCTACTACGTCGGCACTTAGTGGTTGCCATCACGGGTATTTGCAAATTGAGGGAACGCGGTCTTGAGAGGGGTACCCAGGAAGAGTCCAGGCCCAAAGCGGCGACCAGAGCGGCTGGACCAGCCTCGAGAATTCCTTGGATAAGTTCGGTAGGGCTTTCAGGACTGGCAGCCTGCGCCAAGAGTCCTGACAATGCTCGGTTTTGAGCCTCAAGCTCTCGTATACGTCTCTGCAATGCACCTATTTCTTCCCTAAGACCCTGAGAACAATTCGATGGCCATCAGTATTCTTACCTAATATGTGCCGTTTAAAAAGCGCATTAGCGAGTGGAAAGAAGCTTGCTAGCGGCAGATTTAATCCTTTCAAAAAACAATTCTAAGTAAAACTTAAAAATTGATATTAGATATTAACAATCCTAGAAAAATAATAGCTAAGTATTTTCTAGACTTATATGAATTGCATACTATTTGTACAATCTATTAAATTTTATTTTTTTTATTGTACACTGAAAGAAAAGATTGGCTGCTGCAGCAAATTAGATGGTACAATCTGATACAGCATTTTTAATTAGCTGCAGCAGCCAATTTTTGCTGCAATCAAAAATGTTATGCTATATTCAGTCAATCTTTTCTTTCAGTGTAAACTTAAGAAGAATAAATAATGTATAAGTGAAAATATTAAATTTTATCATACATTTTACTTATTTTTTATATATAAGTTTTGAAAAGATTAATATTGATATGAATCAGACATTGTTATATTTTTCTAGGCATGAAAAATCCTAATTATTATATAGTGCTGAAAATCTGCGTCTTCAAACGTTATATTTATCTACATATGTAATAATTTGAGTAATCTAAATAAATCGTAGTAAAAAAAGAGATAAAATTTTATTGAAATGAAGTTCGTACAAAATTAAATAAAGTGTGTAAGAATCTTTCGTATACAAGATATACTTGGCGTGAGACACTATCATATCTCTTGATTGTATGTTTTCAATATCGTTCTCAAAAAGAACAATCTCTCCAAAGCTACGCTTGAAGAAACTTCTCTTGTGAAATTTTCCAAATAATAATCTCGAAGTTTACACACAAATTCTTCAGCATTTTATATACATAATAGCATTCACAGAGCGCGCATCTTCGTCGCAATGGACGCGAGCCATTCGAAGAGAATGAAAAGAGATAAAATGAGAAATAGAGAAAAGGAAAGGATGGTAACGAGAGCATAGCGATGAACCTTTTGCGATAGGAGAGCGCGGACCACCTGGTTGGCGACGTCGTCCAGGCACCGCTCATACTGTCGACGCTGGGCGTCAGCGTCTCGCGCTAAGGCTGCGTGCTCCGTTTCAAGGGTTGCCAAACGTGCCACCAGCGCGGCGTGCACTTCACCGGCACATGCTGCCTCCAGGCCGCGTAGTTGACCACGCATCGACTCATTCTCCAGTTGCAGCTTTGATATTTGCGCCTGATACTGGTGTACGCGCGCCTGCAAACAGACGTATGAAAATTATTTCTGGCATATTCTGTTGGGTTGAAGGAAAAGTTCTGGGATATTTTGTTAGCTCAAAATAGAGTGTCATGAAATTTTTTGCCAAGCGCTCTTATGTAGATGGAGTAAACTAAACTAAGTCAAAAGTCCTGTATTATTTTTTTTTTGCCATTTTCGCAGTAGCACAAAAAACTGCAAGAGACAAAAATTGTTTATTTTCTTTTCATAGAATTTTAAGAATTTTTTTTTAAATTTTTTATCAACTTTTTAATACGGCATTTTCTTATTGACAACTATTTTTATCAACATGAGAAAATACGGTATTAAAAAATTCTGAACAAAATTCTCAGAATTTTATGAGAAAAAAAAATACACAAGTTTTGTCTCTTGCTATTTTTTTGTAAAATTGATAGTATTTGAGTAAAAAATTATTGAAGACCAATATTTAGCAATTTTTAGTAATTAATATATAGACTGTTCCATTTAATGAAACAAATTTTAAAGATATTAGACACGACATGATTGTCTTTTATATCTGTCTACCAAACAGTTATGTCGTGTCTAATATTTTTAAAATTTGTTTCATTAAATGGAACAGTTTAATGGAACATTTGCAACAATTACAACAACCTTATAAAATTAGTTCAATCTTGATAGTCATTTAACTTAATAATTAAATGACCAAGATTAACTCGGACATCACCACCACGAGTTTTCTCTTCTTTTTATGTTATTAGTTTAAACGTGTATGCGCTACCATTATGTAATTTTGTTAATATATCTTTTGTAATCTGAAGAGGACTTTGACCGTAGGTCGAAACGTATACGTTTAATATTC